CTAGTCCTTTTTTACTTTTTTTCTTAGATTTTGATTCGTCTTATTAATATTTGAATACCGCACAGTGCGACAAAAGGCTAAAGACATTACTAACCTTCTTCAAGATGATGAACGTCTTAATGCAGAGAGACGTCAAAGAGCTAATATGAGAGATAGATTAACAGGTCATAATGAGTTACCTGGGGCAGTTAATAGAAATGTAGATAATGCATTTTATGAACATCCCGGAAATTTAGACGATGAAGATGCTGATATAAAAAAAGCTATTGCAGAAAGCTTAAAAACAGCAAACGAAAATGAGAAAAATAGGTAAAATTATGATAATTTATTTATTTTGTTGTTTTTTAGCTTAATGTTTCGGATTTTCACGATCTGTTTATTCCTGAATTATGTTAATGAAATGCAGTACTAAAGAAGAAGAAGATTTAAAGAGAGCACTTAAATTAAGTAAAGAGGAGGAAGAAAAGAGGCAAGCAATGCTCGAAAAACAGAATGAACAATTGTTATTTGATCCAGGGTTAGTCACATTATTTTTTATATATATCTTTATAAAAATACAAAATTTACCTGACTTATACTTTCATAAGCAGATATTCTTCCAACACCAATCAACTTCCACAACAACAAACAGATTTCTTTGGCAACCCGATAACACCATATACGAATTCTCAATTCAATCAGTTTAGTGGAAATCCGAACAGCCAACAATTGGATCCCTTTGGAGGATTAATTGACAACAAAGCTTTAACTAACAATCAATCACAATATTTGAATAATCCATATCAATTGCAACAACAATCAACAAATCCTTATCAGCAATCACCAATATTGCAATCGAGTGTTACTATTGGATCAAACAATCCTTTTGGACCATTTACTCAACAACAGCTACAGCAACAACAGCTACAGCAACAACAGCTACAGCAACAACAACTACAGCAACAACAACTACAGCAACAACAGCTGCAGCAACAACAGCTGCAGCAACAACAGCTGCAACAACAACAGCTGCAACAACAACAGCTACAACAACAGCAACTACGAGCAAATT